TTTCTTGAAGATAGGGCTGAGCTGCATGGACTGGGCTTCCAATTGCTTCCAAAACACCAGTGGGACCCATTCTATGTGAGTGTTCTCTGAGACTAAGAATCACTAGCCAGCCCAGAGAAATGGGTGTAGCTGCTTAGGGCTGTTCCAAGGGCCAGAAATCCTATGAGCCTGTATCAGAATGCACATAGGGACTCAAAGAAGGACAGAACATTCCCAAACAAGCTAAACAAAGGCTTTCCTGAGACCACACTTTATTTTCCAAAAATGCTAAGTACATGGCCTAAGTATCCTGCAAGCAGTCAGTTCTCTCTAGAATATATTGGCTCATACCAAACATGGGACTCGGGTTATATTATCTTTAAGATGGTATTTTCAATCAATATTTCTTGTGTGTGTGCACATGTGTGTGTTCCAAGGGGGATGAGCATGTACACATGGCATTGACCTCTGGACTTTAGCTGACCTTGGTTTTTGTTTTCTTCTTTTCTTTTCAGGTCTCTCTCTGGCCTGGAACTCACACACTGGGCTAGGCTGTCACTCTACTGGTCTCTACTTCTCAAAAGTTGGGATGAATTGCAAGCTCACTCTACCACACCTGGCTTATTTACATGGGTTCTGGAGATAGAACTTGGGTCCCCCTGCTTTTGAGGTAAGCCCTACACTGACTGAGTGATTCCCCCAGAACCCGGCTTTCAGTAGACATTTCTTTAGTACCATAAGATTCTGCTCACCACACCGTTTTGATGACCTGCAGTGACAGCCAAGGGACTGTCCTTACACCCAGGTAGATTATTGTCCAGGAGGGAATGACGGTTTTCAACCTTCACAAAACGTCATTTTTCCCCCTTCAAAATTCTTTCTAGATGTGTGTAAGCCTGGACTTGCTATCCATGATTACTTAAGGAAGGATAAGCAGAGCAGGAGGGGGGTGGAAAAATAAATAGATAAAATGAAGTCCAACCTTTGAATTTGGCTCTGACCTTTAACAGGTAAAGATTTTGAACAATGTGTATGGCAATTTACTGTAAGTAATAAAATTATATCCATCCTGCCAAGGAGTGGTAACCAAGGATTCAGGCTATCCATGTGTACTAATTTGGATATGGCAAGCTTGGAACTTATTTATAACTTTTACAGTATTTTACCACTCTTTCTTTCCAAAGAAGCACACATCATATTGCACAAGGCATGTGGATATCTGTGTCTCCTCTGCCAAGAGCAGCTGGGAAAAAGAAAAACAGTCTTTACGTATTGTTATTTCAAGCTTGAATCTGTGATCGGTCATTGTACAGAAATATTTGGTATTTAATAAGCTTGAGGCTTGGATTCAGATCCACCTGATGGCCTGGGGGCATACATGGCTTGATGGCACAGGTTCATAAATCCACTGAGAGTGGATCTGGCCTTTGTAACTGTGCTCACCTTTGTGTGACTGAGACACCAAACCTGTGGTGGCAATGGGCTCGCTGGATGGGGCTTCTGTTGATGCAGACTTAGGAAATAATCACCATTCCTTTCTTCTTCACCCTCATTCTCAGCAACTCACAACAATTGATTAGGGATGCCTTGATTATTTCTGGAATTTTAAAATGTGTGAATGCCCAGGTATCATCTTGTTTCAAATGAAACAATTTCAGACAAAAGTGTCAAATAGTTTTTAAGGGA